GATGTCTCCAGGTTTCCATTTTAATTGCCTACAAATCCACACGTCTTACAAAGGGATGACAATTCGCTCTCAGCTTGCATTAACTACCGCCCCAAAAGTGATTTTAATGACTTTCAGATCCACAGTTTCCTTCAGGTGAAAACAAACTAATTCCTCAGGAACAGTATTTCTCCTTCTGAGACTAAGACAGAAAATACTTTCTCCACGGGTCCTCTTAGTTGATGTTATCTAACAGAACAAACAATGTCCTCAAGGGCACCCTCACAATAAGCACAGGATGAAATCGCATGTGCTGTTTCTGACAGAGTGTCCCAGAAAAGGCTGAGGGCATCACGCTCTAAATTCCAAGATGCACGATAGTATCAGTAATCTGCCGTATCAAGGGATGTGGGCTCTGAGCATGCTGTTCCCAGATTGCGACAGACCTCCTTGAAACAACGTGATCTAAAAAGGGGGGTGCTCAATTTAAACAACATTTGGGTCACTTGGTGTTCAGCTCTCCCATGCTGAGGCTGCCCCAACCCCTCCAGCTCTTGAGAATCAGGCTCTCCTTTGCAGAATTTGGCACGGAGCCTTAGCTACATCACACCGTCCTAATGTGTATGTGTGTTAGGATTTTAAATCCTCCCAGGACAAGAATTACATCTTTTGTTCCGTAGCTATAGACTGAATGTTTTTGTTCCTCCCAAATTCATATGTTGAAATTCTAACCCCCAAAGGGATGGTAGTAGGAGGTGGGGCCTTGGGGAGATAATTAAGTCATGAGGGTGGGGTCCTGAGGATGGGATTAGTGCCTTTATAAAAGAGGCCCCTGAGAAATCCTTAGCCCTTTCTTCCATGTGAGGACACAGCAAAATGACGGCCATCTATGAACCAGAAGTGGGCTCTCACCAGACATGGAGTCTGCCAGTGCCTTGATCTCAGACTTCCCAGCCTCCAGAATTGTGAGAAGTAAATACTTGTTGTTTAAGCCACCCAGTCTGTGGTAGTTTGTCAAAGCACCCTGAACAGACTAAGACACCAGGGCTTGCTCTGTTGTCCTAAACCCACTAAGCACTCATGCAGAAGTTAAGTACTTATTGAGGATGTTGATGGCAATGGCTGACTGCTATTAAGAAAGGATTAAATTAAGGCATGATAGGAGCCCTTAGTTCACCAGGAGCTCTCCCTGGTCCAACTCTATAGTCTGGATTGCTGTAATGCTCCAGCTTTCCACCAAATTAGATCCCCAGATGTTGACACGTCCCCTTTCTGCTGTTTCATGTCACAGTGGGAGTTCAAATTCTTCAATGGAGCCATGGCAGGCAAGGGGAGGAAGAGGTAGTTCCTGATGACCACCCTTTGTCACCACAGTGATGTCCCACAATAGTCATGGATAAGGTTGAACCTCCTCTAACCCTTGAACTCCATCACAGAGGACATCTTCCATAAAGTGCTAGATGGAGGACCTCCTGACCATATGACCATCCAATCTCAATTCTCTTGTTCATGAACTTAAGCCTGAGAGTCTTTACTGTCCCAAAATGAACACTGGAACAGAACAAAAACATAATAGGAAACCATCAGTCCAGGTAAAGTGGGTTGAAGACATAGAAAGGCCTAGAGGAATTTGGGGAGATTGGACCGATGCCACCTTCTTGGGAGATGATGGAAGACTGTGGGCATAGAACCCAGTGATGGTGTGGGAATATCAGAGGAAAGCTCCCAAGAGGATGCTGGTCAGGAATGTAGAGTTAGGTGGCGGGTAGAAAGCCCAAATGAGTACATAGTTTGGACAATGGCTGGATTAACCTGAGAGGGGATGCTGAGATGCTGCATAAACACAGATATAGTATTTGTCTTTTATTTCGAATACTTGGATAGAGAACGGATTCAAGAGAAATCCCATGAGAGATTTTATGAGTAATATTTTTATGCAGTGAGACTATAATTTGGTAATATTGAAGTAAGAGCAGGCATCTGTACTTCAATCAAATGTTACCAATCAGGTATTCAGACATGGCACTTGGTTGCAGTGGTTAATTTTGTCATCCAATTGTCAGATGTATGAGCTTTGTGTCGACGACGAGGAGGTTTTGAAGTCTAAGAGTAGTTCATACAGAACTCCTCTTGTCTTAGCTAGGGCTGCTATAACAAGGCCCCACCCTCATGACCTAATTAGCTCCCTAGTGCCCCACCTCCAAATACCATAGGCCAGGTGGCTTAAACAACAGAAATTTATTTGTCGCAGTTGTAGAGGCTGGGAAGTCCAAGATCAAAGTGCAGGCAGATTTGGTTGTTGGTGAGGACTCTCCTCCTGGCTTCAGATGGCCCCTTCTCCCTGTGTCCTCACATGGCAGAGATCTCTCTCTCTCTCTCTGTGTCTCTCTCCCCTCTTCTTATGTGGCCACTAACCCCATCATAAGGGCCCCACCCTCATGACCTAATTAGCCCCCTAGGGCCCCACATCCAAATACCATCACACTGTGGGTTAGGGCTTCATATATAAATTTTGGAGGGGACACAATTCAGACCATAGTACCTCCTATGAAAGGTGACCTCAGTAGGGCACTGGAGAGCAAGTTCTGCCCCAAATGAGGAAGCAGCCACAGCAGGACACCTAAGAAAAGGCCAGGCTAGCTCTGGTTTACACTGAACCATGCATCTCCCCACCATCTTGGTGTTTTTGAAAAGGAGCATCCCTGGAGGTCTTCAATCAGGGTAATCTGAAGAAACGTCCTACCCAACATCAGGCAGGGCCTCTTTGAAGAACCCTGGACTCATCCACCACATTCCTAAGTCCTCTCCCTAGGGAAGGGGTAGCTGGTGACGATAGTTTTTCACTGGCTACCCTCCTCAAACCTCTCCCAGAGGCCAACATGATTTTCCGGACAAGAAACTGGGAGGGTGACAGTGGCCAGGCCACAGAGCAAAGAGATAAAGTCTGATGCTCTGTTTCATCAGATCAGTTCCAATCCACCCCAAATTTTCATTCCACACAGGCAATCTGGTACTCATAAACTTCAGGTTCAAAGGTAATTATGATGATCAAAATCCTCCCCAGATTTCCACATGGAATAACAGGAAGCAAGGCAATGTTTCCATTACATTAGGAAACCATGCTCCACCCTCCTTTCTGAAACTTCCAGAACATCATCATAAATCCCATTCGACCTCCAAGCCCGGAGAAGAGCCTCTCTGCATTGTGCTGGGTACCACTTCTTGTTAGAAAGTCTCCTCTATTTTGAATGGGAATTTGTCTCTTTACAAAATCCACCCATTCACTTAGTTCTACCCTCTGAGACCACACAGAATATGTCTGTCCTTTTCCACATGGCAGCCCTTCAGACCCCGGAAGAGAACTTTCATTCCCCTGAAACCCAAGAGATGATGCCCTTCCAGGCCTTCCAGGCCTCCAGAGACCTGCTCCAGGGTCCCCACCAGCCTGGCTCTCTCCTTTAGACCCTCTTCTGTCACCTAAAAATTCTTGTTCAACAGAGTAGTTGTAATACCATAGCCCAGCTTTCCTGCCGGGCTGAAACACTGTCCAAAAATTTTGTAAATTTGTTATGGTCATGGCTGCCAAGCCCACAAAACCCAGATCCCAATCTCTCACTGAGCAGCCCAAGAACATGTTCAAAGAATCCTCTGGCTGGACATCATCCCTTGGACGAATCATTAGTTTCTCTCATTGTTGCTGCTGGCTGCCCCCCAACCCAGGTCAATGGTTGATGGGACAGACACCACCCCTAGTGATGCCCTTTGCCCCGAGTGTGGGAATCTGAGGGCAAAGGCAGCATTGAATATCCCATCACTGGGCCCAAGTGACTAGTCTCACTTGACAGAAAGTGACACGAGACCAGGGATTTCTAGTGAGGGGTCATTCGCAAGGGCTTAGCCTCCATATTACTAGAGTTAAGGGCAGGAATTAAGAGTTAAGTCAAGGACCCCACCCTCTGCACTCCAAGTCAGCTCTGTCTGGCCAGCAGCCTTTCTCTGACTACATTCCCCGTACCCACCCCGGCCCCTCCATGCAACACCCACACTTGCTCTGTGTACATCTCCTCTGGGTCACCACAGCACTTGTGTGTCAACATCAAAGGCCCCATCATAGTCCCTGTCGCATTCTGCCTTGAGACAGGGCTCTACCTCTGTGTTCCCACCTCCTCCCCTAGACTGGAAGCTCCAGGAGGGGAGCCCCTGGGTCTTATTTGGCAGTGTCTCCAATCCTAGCATCCCTTGGCCTCACTTTGTCAAGCCTTATATACCTCCATCAAGGTAGGTGGGAATTGAGCCTCTCTCCCTCTGGGTGGGAGTCAGGAGAGACCACCACAGTCTCTGTCCCTATCTGCTCCACCATCTCCATCACGGTGGTCTGACCTGTGTGTGAGCTGGGCTCATCAAAGCATGGGATCTTCCATCTGATCCCTTCCTGGGTCCATGAGCTCTGCTTCTGGGCTAGAGGACATGGTCCAAAGTCCAGCCTGTCACTAGCCTGTTCTACAGACAGAAACTGGGGAGAAGAGCCCGGCTGACCTGGGGCAAACTCATCCCACCCCCAGTAATCACAAAGGGGCAGCAGGTTTACCATGACCCTGATTAGCCTCAGCAACAAAGTGTCTCATAATTCTTTTCATCACATCCCAGGACAGGGGGCCCAGCCTGCTCAGTATGAACCATAGTGCAGAGCTCTAGGGAGGCCCAGTGTAACGCACAGCATCACACTATGAGGCAGGACAAGGCAGAAGCCACCTGGAGCAGCTAGGTCTCTACTCAAGAGATTTCCCGTGCTCATATAGCCCCTGCCAGCTCCTCACCCCACACAGAGCAGGCAATGATACTCAGACTCATGCCTGGTTGGAAAGACCAGCCAGCTTCCTCCTTTGTGGTTTCCATGGTGAGAAAAGCAGTGTTAGAGTTCCTGACTGTGGGGAAGAAGAGCTCCAGCTCCCCAGTTTTCCCATCTGCTCTCACTTCTCGTTCACCTCCTTAAAGGCCAGGATGGGAAACGATGCTCTTACCTGCTAAGATGAAGATGCCCACGAGAATCAGGAAGACCAGCAGGTAGAGCCCAAGGACTGCATGCTTCAGGGCCGACAGGGAGCCCAGCTGGGTGCAGCAGCCACCCGCCCGTCCTTTGTGGCACGGACCTACACAATAAGGGTAAGAAGAAGAGGGAAAAAGACATTTGAAAATCCCCAAAGCCCTTTTTCTCTTTTGGTCTCATCTCTCCCTGATGCATGCAGATGTCCACATGGAACCTCTCACACAACTTCTGCACATCTGTAATGCAGCTGGAATGGTGGGAAGCTTTTCTGAATCGTGAGAAGCTTTTCTGCTTCTATCTCTCCTCCCATCCTCTGTGCTCACGAACTAGCCAGACAGGCATGCCCACAGCTCACGAGGCCACGCAAACCCACCTCCTAGAGCCAGTCCAAGCCACAGAGAAAGCTCAAATAGGCTGGAATATGTGTCCTTTATAAAGTGTTATTGTCCCATGTGATCAGGAGAAGATGGAGAGAATTTTAGAAAGAGGTTGCAAACTCCAGCTTCTAACAGTGGCCTGGAAGGGATGTGGGCCAGGTGGGCCTGGGGAACCCAACAGTGCATGCCCAGTCTGGAAGAGGTTGCCATGCAGGAAGAAGGGCCGGGCGTTGGCAGATCCAAAAATCACTTCTCCAAACCACTTCTGGCTTCAAGACAAGTCAGAAGTGATTTGGAGAAATCTCCCTTTTTTTAAGTGTTGACAACTAATTAGAGAAAAAAACCACAAAAAACAAAAAAAACCACTAGGGAGCGTAAACAAAACAAAACACATTTACGGGCCGGATCCACCCACCAGTTTACAACCTCGGGTTAAGATTTACAGGAAAACATAGTACCTAACTTCATCCCGTGAAACTACACAAGGCTCACCAGGTTCTGGCCAAAATGGAACAGCAAAATATCAGAGTTCTAATGGAACTTACCGATTGTCTAGTACAACCCCTTCTGTTTACAGATGAAGGACAGCAAATGTTAGTGACAAACCCTGGGTGAGGACCCAGGTGCCCTGACTCTGTCCTCTTTCCACTGGACTTCTCCTTCGAGGCAGCCTTCAGATGGCTGGTGCAGAGGCCAGCAAGCTTACCAACGTCCGCCTGCTCTGTCAGCTGACAATGGAGAGGAAGGGATGCCGTCCCACCCTGACCCCCAGCACGGCAGGTAAGAATCTATGGAGGGGGGACTTCTCTGGTGGCACAGTGGTTAAGAATCCGCCTGCCAATGCAGGGGAGACGGGTTCAAGCCCTGGTCCGGGAAGATCCCCCATGCCACGGAACAACGAAGCCCGTGAGCCACAACTACTGAGCCCGCATGAGCCTAGAGCCCGTGCTCCACAGCAAGAGAAGCCACCGCAATGAGAAGCCCGCGCGTCGCAACGAAGAGTAGCCTCCGCTCGCCGCAACTAGAGAAAGCCCACGCACAGCAATGAAGACCCAACACAGCCAAAATATTAATTAATTGATTAATTTTTTTAAAAAGAATCTATGGAGGGCATTTTTTTTTCAAAGTACACATGTCCCTATTATGCACATTCTCCACCCCCTGCAAGGGAGACTATTGCCAACTGGAGAACATCGCGCATAGAGGCATGGGTGGGAACCGGAAAAGGCTGACAGCAGATGATGAAATAATTGAGAGTCAGAAAACCTTTGAGGTGCTTCGGAGGCTCCTTATCACCTCTCAAGTAACACGGCCACCTGCACGGCCTTCAGGAGGTTTGGTGACCACAAGGGAAATGGCGGTGACCACGCTGGTGCCCTGGCTCTCCAGAGGTATTGTTCAGTGAGGAACATTTTCCCACGCATTTACTCCATTTTATTGAAAATGCTGTTGTTAAAACAGCTAAGTAGGACTATTACATAATATTTCCGTAAAACATCGGGTACGATTTGGAACAAGTTGTCGAGAAATACAAATTCAGTTACCGTTCTCATCAACACTTAAATGTTAGCAATTTTTCTAGACTTAACCTGATTTTCCACAAAGACCTGCACATCTTTCTAACTCACCCTAAATCTTCTTTTTCAGAATTTTCTATCTCTTTCCACACAGTAGGATCTATAACCTGTTTTGCTCCTAAATACGCAAGCTTCTTGTAGCATTTTGTCTTTTTTTTTTTTCTCGTGAGAGCCGCTGGCTGGCGGATTGCAACTCTTAGAGAACAGTTTTTTTCCCTTGAGAGTCAAAGCGGTAGGCATAGCATAGTGTATTATACAAATATTAGTATCTTTATTGCGATGGTTGTTCCAGCTCTCCTCATCCCTGCTTTTCTTGACATAATGATGAGAATAATGGCAGTCTAGCTACTGGGAGGGGTCAGAAGACACCCAGGTTGAAATGCTATTGTCCTTGTGTTTATCCCCAATCCATCTTGGGCTTCTTCATTTGTTGCCTTTGTTTGATCCTCTTCTTATTTCCCTTGAAGGTTTAATTAAGTTTAACCGTATGCTGTTAACTGTTCCAGTTTCACTGAAATGTTCTATTTCTTGTTCATTACAAAAAGAAATCGTTCTCTCAAAAAGATGTTGATATAATTTTTTGCACATAACTTTTTTATTGAGACACAAGACATTATATTAACACTTTGCCTGAGCTCGAGGCAGTCTGTTTAGTAAGCTGAACATTAATACAGGAACGGATTAAGTGCAAGCAACACACATTCACGGGTTGACTAGTAAGGCTACTTAACGATTTATAAAGTGCTAGATTAGTGCTAATTGTCATTCAGTTTGAAATTTTTCACCTTGGGGAGGAAAACAAAGCAATCAGGACCCCTTCCATCCTCTAGGAATGAAAACATTTTCCTAAACCAATCAGTCACAAGAGCAAGGGCTACTTTTCCTTTACTCCCACTAATTAGAACATCATCCCTTTATTGTCAAGTCTGTACTAACTTTCAATATTTGGCAGAATGGGGGAGGAAAATCACACAGCCAAGAAGACTGCTAACGTGCATTTTGCCCCGTTGCTTGCACGTGTATTGCCAGCTCATTGTAAGAGTGGGGCGAACTGCAATGATATAGTTCTATTTTTTCCCCATCAAAAAAGAGTAGTTCCCTTCTCCTCTACCTAAGGCTTCTGTCTAATAGCAAGCACCCCTGGTGACATGTCCCTTCATCAACTTACACACACAACATAGACCTTCCTCTGAGAGAGCTCAGTCCCCTTAGCAAGACTCAATTACCTTGCGCATTACACAAAATCCATTCTAGATAGAACATAAAAAGGGTTTCAGATAGAGATTTTGCAGAAACATTCAGTGATCTTCTGTTCCACAAGCGGAACTTCATTGAATGTTTCTGGCAAGATGGCTAGAGAATATGATTGTAAGGGAAAGAAGACAATTTAGGGGAAAGACAAGTTACTAAATCTGCCCAAAACACATTTATTGACTTTTTAATATAACATAGCAGCAGCATGTTAGCTGAGTAGACCATTCAAATTATTTAAGCTTGGTGGAAGATTGAAAACACTCCAAAACAATACAATCAGTAAAAACAGTATGCTCATTTGTTTTTTTAAAAAAGTAAAAGAAATGAGCCATGAAAAGACATGGAGGAAGCTTAAGTGCCGATTAGTAAGTAAAAGACACCAATCTGAAAAAGCTACTTACCGTATGATTCCAGATTTATGACATTCTGGCAAAGACAAAACTATGGGGACGGTAATAAGATCAGTGGTTGCCAGGGGTTGGGAGTGGGGAGGGATGAACAGGTGGAGTACGGAGGACTTTCAGGGAGGTAAAACTCCTCTGTGTGATACTGTAATGATGGATACATGTCATTATACATTCGTCTAAGCCCATACAATGCTCAACACCAAGAGTGAACCCTAATGTAAACTATGGACTTTGCACGATAATAACATGTCAGTGTAGGTTCATCAGTTGTAACAAATGCACCTCCCTGGTGGGGGATGTTGATTATAAGGGAAGCTGTGCACATGTGGGGCAGGTGGTACATGGAAACTCTCTGTAATTTCCACTTAATTTTGTTGTAAACCTAAAACTGCTCTAAAAGTTAGTCTATTTTTAAAAAGTAAAGGTTTTTTAAAAATATATATTTATTTGGCTGCATTGTGTCTTAGTTGAGGGATCTTTGTTGCAGCACTCAGGCTCCTCTCTAGTTGTGGCGCGGGCTCTAGAGCGCGTGGGCTCCGTTGCCCCGAGGCATGTGGGATCTTAGTTCCCCAACCAGGGATCGAACCCACATCCCCTGCAGTGGAGGGCAGATTCTTAACCACTGGACAACCAGGGAAGTCTCAGTAAAGGTTTTGACTTATGGATCGTTGGGGTAAAAACTCTAACAGACTTTTATTGAACACCCACTGTCCTACTGTGGTAGCCCTACTGTGGTAGCCAGCCTTCAAGATGGCCCCAGATGATCCCATCCCCTTGTATAGTCTCCTTCTGCATTGTACCAGGATTGGCTTGTGTGACCAGTAGAATATGGCAGAAGTGATGGTGGGTCACTTCTGAGATGAGACAAAAGACACTGCAGCTTCCTTCTTGCTTACTCTTTCTCTTTCTTGAAATATTCATATGGGGGGAAGCCAGCCACTATGTCATGAATACACTATAGAGAATCTACACGGTAAGGAACAGAGGTCTTCAGCCAACAGCCACGTGAGTGAGTCTGGAAGCAGGTCCTCCAGCCAAATCAAGTCTTCAGATGACTACACCCTGGCTGAGATCTTGACAGCAGTCTCATGAGAGACCCTGAGCCAGAACAACCCATCTAAGCTGCTCCCAGATTTCTGCCAGATTGGACTATGTGGATACACATATTTTCTGAGCAGAATTTTGGATCTGAAAAAATAAACAAAATCTTGGATTTCCTTGCACACCCATGGCTTCCTCAGAAACGGAGTGAGATAACAAATTTTGTTGTTTTAAGCTGCTAAGGTTTGGGGTCATTTGTTATGCAGCAGTAGATAACTAATACACTATGGTAGACATTGGGAAATACAAATATAACAAGCCGTGTGAGGGAGAGATTTTGTCAGTGTCATTCACGTCCAACTTTCCAGTTCCTAAACCAGTGCCTGGCACACAGCAGACACTCAGAAAATATCTGTTGAATGAGAGATGAAGATACAATCACTGCCT